GCAAGAAATTATTATGGGCACTACAAGGGTTGAATATTGCCAAGAGTTTCACTGTTTTTTGCTACAAGAAAATGAGTTTCCATGCTTTACATAACAAGGAAAATATTATGATCATTATACCAAAATCACCAGAAGCAATCAATCGAAAGAAGTGAGCTGGAGATATGGCGGAAAATGTTTCTAGGAAAAATCTTTGTTTAAAGCACAATTTGGTTTGCAATAACGCTTGCAAGTGATCATCACAACAGAGTGAATTACCTTGTCGCCTGCAGCAAGAATGACCAATTGGCCATCTTCAGCTGGCTTCTTGCTCCCTGAAACTGGAGCTTCAACAAAAGCTCCGCCCTTTTGTTTAACCGCCTGCAAAACATTTTATCAAGGAAAGTTCATTGCACTAAACACTAATGATTTTACTAATGAAAGTAGCCAATCTAGCATTGATATAATTGATATACGCCTATTATGTGATTCAGTTTCCTCTTTAAATACGTCCACACAAAACATTGGGGATATTCTTTTAGTCCAGCATATTCTACCTGTGGCCAGCTACTTATACTCTGGCGAACTCTATTCACAAGTAGATACAATAAAATGTAACCCAACTATCTGAACATAACCTAACCCTCTGAACATGGGCATCAATGACGCAAAAGGTGAGTAATGGGTTCACAACAGCTTAATCAATCGACTTGAGACTAGCACCCAATTCAGGAACTCGGGATTGAGAACCAAAAGAACACAACCTCACCCTTTTCTAGTGTGTGATAACGATGCCCAGCCAAAGAAAGTAACCAATCTAGTCATTGCGATGACAAAACTTAGGGGGGGGGGGGTGTCTCAAAATTGATGAAATAAAAAGGGCAGAAAGAAAACCATGTTAATTGGAGAAGAAGGGAATAAACTCATAGATATGCTAGAAATATATTAGGTTGATACTGTCAACAAATAAGGACTAAGATTTAGCATTTGCTAGAAACACAAATTTAGGCAAATGCAATATGTGACTTGTATTCATCTATTTGTTCCTCACCATATATTATGAGAGCGTACGATTCGTTATATCAGGCCCACTATTGATCTAGGAATGCATCGTCTCCTACATCTCTTCTCACTTATGCTTCACTATTTGGGAATTCATCTATTTGTGCTTCATTATTCCATCGTCTCCTACATCTCTTCTCACTTATGCCTATGCCGATTGGGTTCGCTGTCCTACTCCTTAAGCCTGCTGCTCAACACATCGATTCTGTGTATGCTTGGGCGATGATATCATTTCTTGGTCTTCCAAATAAGAACGTCACGAGTCCCAGTCTATTGTGTAAGCCAAGTATCATGCCACAACTCACGATGTCGCTGAAACATGTTGGTTATGCCAGCTGCTGCAGGAGCTACATCATCGACTCGCATATTGTACATTGTTTACTGAGACAAAACCAACATAGAATAATTGTTCGTCAACTCAGTGAAGCACCAACGGATCAAGCACATTGAGGTTGATGTTTGTATTCTACTCGAAAAAGGTGGCTATATTGACTAATGCTAAGCATGCTGACATGTTCACCAACGGATTCACAGTGCTAGTGTTCACCGAGTTCTGTTCCAGTCTCAACATCCAGGAACCAGCAGCTGCGGCTGCAACCACAGGAGCATGCAGTCCACATGCTACTCGCCTCATGGGTATGATCAGACTAGTTAGAATCCACATCCTCATTATATTGCTGTTTGTTATCATTCCAAATATAAATCACCCTCCCTCGTCTCCTATTTAGTATAATTGATATGCCTATTATGTGACTCCTCAGTTTCCTCTTTTAATATGTCGACCTACCTGTGTCCAGCTACAGAATTTTCATCTCTGGCGAACTTTATTGACAAGTAGATGCAAAATGTAACTCAACTATCTGAAACATAACTTAACCCTGTGAACATGCCATCAATGATGCAGAAGGCGAGTAATGGGTTCACAGCAACTTAATCAACCTAACCCTCTGAGCACCCAATTCAGGAGCTCAGGATTGAAAACCAAAAAAACACAGACTCACCCTTTTCTAGTACTATGTGATAACAATACCCAGCGAATCGGACTTACGACAGTGCACGGGGGCAAACAGAAATGACACCTGACTCTGACTGTTACAAAAGCCATAAGCAAGAAGAATACCTCGCTTATCTTGCAAGAAGTTGCAGCATCAACAGTGGACATATCCACGTAGCCCTTGCCCTCTCCGATTTGCTCGAGCACGCCATCCTTGTCGAAAACAACCTAGATGAATTCGACAGGCAAGAAATGGGGATATCAGCGACAACAACGGCACCCTGCAACGCTGGAGTAAGAACAAAAGGGTTCCCGGCGTCTCTTAACGGATAGCGCGGCGCTGGGATCGGAGAGCATGGCGATGGTGTACTTGCACTTAGCGACGACGGACGCCGGCGTGTCCCCGACGGCGGCACCCATCGCGACGAGCTCGTCGCACTGCCAACAAAAATCGCCACAGGTTCTCGAGATTATTATCGGATAAAAACAAAAGGGGACAGAGCATGGCATATGAATCGATCGATCGATCGATCTGCCAAGCCACAGACGGATGGATCGGCGAATCGGGGGGCGTCGCGTACCTTGGACAGGGTCCGGTTCCAGACGGTGACGCGGAAGCCGTGGCGGAGGAGGTTGGCCGCCATTGCCTTGCCCATGATGCCCAGTCCCAGGAAGCCCACCTCCATCGCGGCCTCCCTCTCCCTGCTGCTGCTCTGCTTCGTCTTCCTAGCACGCGGAAGCCGTGGCGGCGGAGGTTGGCTCCTCTTCTCTCTCGCTCGTCCCCTCTTCCCTGACTGCACGCGCACACGCACCCGCCGCTAGCGACACACACCTGTGCTCCTCCAGTGGGCAGCCACAGCCCGCCGATCCCCTCGACTTTATTTTTTAATTCTATTTATCCTTGTCGTTCGCTTTATCCTAGAATTTCTGGTGCGCTGGGCATCTCCATCCAGCAGATTCTTAAAAAAACTCTCCCACCTCAATAATAGTTTTCAAATTATTACGGATTGATGCTTTCGCAGGTCCCAAATAAAGCTCTTCCAATATTTATTTTTCTCTACGTGAACAAACCTTATATCTTTTTTTTCCTAATAATAAAGCGTGGATTGACTTTATAGGTTCACTGTCACAATACGCTTCTTTTCGTGATTCTACGTGCGTCTTAATTTAAGATATAGAAATACAAAAAAAGAGAAAAGCAGGGGCACTAGGATTCGATCAGAGGCCACCAACGTGGGGGCTTGTTGCACTAACCAACTCCATTAAGTTCCTGTGCATATTTTTTACTGATAGCTCGTCCAATTTATCCGGGAATTGTTTCTTTCATCGGTGTTGGGCTGTAGTTTATCTTCTTTTTTTTCGTGCTACCTTGCATGGGCCGTTGGGCCTGCACCGCTAATTAAGCCGGATTATGGATAATTGACTCCTAATTAAATATGATTATGGGATCCGGTCTCTGCATGCTGGTGTTGGCTCCTCAGATGCTGATGTTGGTAGCTCTTGATGAGTAGGTTTACGCGAGACGGTGTCCAAAAAAGGTTTATTCTTTCGTATTGGTTTGTTCTTAAATTTTTCCATTTAATTAACTTCAAGCAGTGATTCGATTTTTTGATTCATCATATTTTGTTGTTCAACTGTCTTGGATTGGCTTGCTTCTAATCGATCTATTAATAAATATCATCAGGTACAACGGTTGCTCATAAGTGAGACCAATTAATTCAAATTTGTTCGTTTATTGAAGACGTACTATAAAGCTAGAGGAACATCAAGCTTGAAGACAACAACTTTGATCCTTGCAGTGTATGAAGGCTGTTTTTATAGGACAAAAAAGAATACCGTAGATGCTTTTATGAAATTAGGCCATGATACCATCGCAACACTTCAAGTCTCAATTGCCTTTTCTAACTCCTTATGTCATTTTTGGCACATAATTTCAAAGACTCTTTTTATCTCCACCACATCTTCTTAGCCTGATTTTTGAGTCTGGGACGACATGGCCATTTAATAGGAGGATGCGGCCATGCAGGGATAATAATTTTTCACCCGTTGAGAAGCACGAGCATATTTACTATACCTAATAATAAGCTAAGGAGTGCTTCTGGCGGTCGGTCACACAACTTTGCAAAAAAAAATCCTATGCTTTCTATGAATTAACCCACAATACACACTCAATTCATATCCGAACCGTTATTTTGCATTTTTTTGAAACCCTTTTACTTTTTAGGTAATTCACCTACGGATCATATTTAAGTGAAACAAATGGTTTTCTAAATTATTATATCTTTTAAACCTTTACTCCGATTTTAATATTTTATATATGAAATTTGATTAGAAATGTGTACATTTTGAATATGATGTTATTTTTACCTATTAAATATTTTCTAAATATTATTTTGAAAGCAAAATTATAATATGTAGCACACGGTCCGTTTTTCATCATATTGGCGGCAGCCCGGATTGCAAATAAACACCCACTAGAACCATATAGAGACGAAAGAAAATATCGATAACCACACACGCACACCTGTGAAAAACCTCACAAGGGAAAAACAATAGATTTCTCATCGCGAGAGAGCATGATCTATTTTTCTTTCGTACCATGGCGATCCGGATTACAAATAAACACCAACTAAAACCATATAAAGACGAACAAAAATATCGATAACCACGCATGCACACTTCTGAAAAGCCTCGCAAAGGAAAAATAACAGATTTCTCGTTGCGAGGGCGAGAGAGAGCGAGAGAGAGAGGGGGGAGAGGGGGAGAGAGAGATGCCTTAGGATTAACCACATTCAAACACACATTAATTTGTGTGAACACTGAGGCTACCGCCGACAAGGGTGAGAAGGATAAGCGGCAATACAAATTTGATGCTCCGCTAAAATAAAGGATGTGGACCTATTGTGGTTTTGAGTGATGGATATTGGGTTAAGAGTGTGTGTTGTTTTTTCTCCCGTTGCAACGCACGGGCTCTTTTGCCAGTGAAACTTACACATCACATATATACTACTCCTATAAAAACACGAAGTGCGGGGATCCAAACAAAATCCTATCCATCTATTGATCCCCGTACAGTCTCACGCTAAAACAAAATAGTGTTTAGCAACCTCATCCCGCCACGGTATCAATTACACCGTGCTGCCACCAGGCACCAGCGACGTCCACGCTCTCACACCCTCACCAAAACCAGAAACAACAGTGACCACGTGCGCACGTTCACAAGTCCCTCACCCCAACCTTTCTTGCTCCCGAGTCCTGACCCGATCCCACCTCTCGAGTCTCGACCGAGAAAAATCATCCCCACCGGCCTCAACTCCTCTCCTCTGCCTCTTGTCTTCACCACCGCCGCCTGCCTCCCCGCCCACCACTTGTTCTCTACCTCTTCGGCCACCAGCCTCCCCGCGTCACTTCTTTGTTCCATCTAGGGGTGGGCAAAAAAACCGAGGACCGAACACCGGAGCCGAAATAACCTGAACCGAAGCTGTCGTGGGTTTGTCATGGCAGATGTCCTTGTGAAAGGACTTAGTCATGGAGCCATCGCTACGGGTTAGCTTAAGGGGTTAAACCAGACAAGGGACACGGGGAATTTTATACTAGTTCGGCCCCTTCGAGGAAGGTAAAAGTCTATGTCTAGTTGTGATTGGTATTGCTAGGGTTTCAAAGGCCAAGGAGCGAATCTGCTTTGTCTGGCTCTCGAGTTGTTGTCCCCTCTAAACCGCTGTCGGGTCGTCCCTTTATATACATAGGTTGACGCCCGTCGATTTACAGAGTCCCGAGCCGGATCATAAACGTATCCAGTTCGGTCTCTATCCTTCCTATCTTACAATACAAGTTACATGACTAAGCCGGTTTACATTTACAGGCCTTAACCCGCCTTTGGGCCTTGGGCCTCCATGAAGCGTCATCATCCTTGCATCTTTATGGGCTTCTAATCTTCAAGGAGTCAATCGGCTACATAAGGCCGGTTTACCTCCAGTAGTAATATCCCCAACATTAGGCCCCAAATTGGTTTGAACTTGTTCATGTCAATCTTCCACACTTAGAAAAATCTTCTCATATCTTCACGTTTGATCTTGTAAACCGCCATGACGTCATACTTCAAAATTATGATAAACCGCCCTGATGTCATCCATCCGTTGATGTCGGAGATTACCTTCATTTAATATATATTCAGTCATCGAGGCGACACCTTTATTAACTTATCCATTTTTTGGGCTCCTCGATTCCCGTGCTTGCCATTTTATCGCTTCGCCTTATAAATAGGACCGAGGGGTCATTTTCACTTTTTTCCCGTGCCTCTTCGCGTCGTCTTCCTCGCGCCGCTCAGCCTCTGGAGCTCCGCCGCCACCGTCGACCGTCGCCTCTGCTCTGACCCTGGCCGCTACATCACCCTGAATGCACCAGAATACTGCGGCGCCTTTCCGCTTCCTCACCAGCTCCGGTAAGTTCTCCACTTTTTTCGCCACAGATCTGTTCTAGGGTTTTGACGTTTTTCGTAGTTCTTCCGAAGTTCATCAGTGCTGTTCTTCCCTTTCTTCCTTTAGTACGTAGATGGATACTTCATGCTTGACGCATCTCTTGCCGTAGCTAATCTACCATGGTCACCACAAATCCTTATGTGCAAAGAACTGATCTAGTCTGTCATAAATTGCTTTAGTTCTGCACCCCTTCAAGATCCAATTATTTTTGTTTTTTTGTCTTATCTTAGATCCGAAAGTTTTATCTGTTACTGTGAGATCCGTTTCTCCTCGAACAAATATAGGCGGTTTGACCTTGTATAACAGTCTATGCCATTAGCCCTCTGATAAACTGGAGGAGCATTTTACCTTCATAAGTATGCTCTGGTTTAACAATGTCTGAGCAATCCCGTGCTAGTATACCCTTTCTCTTATTGCATTAGTGTCCGGGTTGTACCATTTCACATATCAGTATGTTTCTTACTTCCTTGTATCTTGTATGTAATCATACATAATTTATAAACCGGCCTTTCATTTTCAGTTTGTTTGCTTTGCAATGGCCAAACAATTCACTGCCTGCAACTGGGCTCGTTCCCGGGTTACTGAGGCTCAGTTGAATGAGATGGTTGGCATCGGCTCTCTGCCTAAGAAAACTGAGATCAAATGGCGAGTACCAGGAGCAGAAAATCCTCCAACCCTAAGACAGGGCGAGGTGGTGGTCTTTGTTGACCATATAGGCCGTGGTTTCAAACCGCCAGGGTCAAAGTTTTATCGAGATGTGCTTGCCAGCTTCCAACTGCACCCACAAGATATTGGTCCCAACTCAGTTTCCAACTTATGCAACTTCCAGGTCTTCTGTGAAGTATATTTACAAGAAGAACCAACTGCCGAACTGTTCCGGGATTTCTTTCACTTAAACCGGCGCATAGAGTTTGTAAATGGCCCGAACACAGAGCTTGGTGGTGTATCGATTCAAAAGCGGAAGGAAGTGGAATTTCCTCATGCCAAACATCATAGCCACCCAAAGGAATGGAACCAAACATGGTTTTATTGCAGAGACACTTCGCCTGAGGATGAAAATCCCCTCCCCAGCTTTCGTGATCACAGACTATCCAATACTCACCCAATGCCACAACGTCTGAGCTCTTCAGAAAGGGCGAAATACGCTCCTCAACTCGCCAAGCTCTGGGCCTTTATGGCAAACGGTTTAACAGGCGTGGATTTTGTGC